CTAGCGCAGATAGCCCTCGTGTAGCTTTGCGCGAAATTCCAAAACAAACAAAAAAAATTAAAAGGAATACTGTTGTGATGTTTCGTCACTCACCATTAAAATATATATGTACTCTTATCAGATTTGGTGTTTAACCATATAGCCTTTTACTTTTATTTTGCATGTTGTTGCCTACTGTACTTCTGTTGAAGTCGTGTCTGTAAGTTGAATGAAACTTCTATACATTGTAACAAAAGTATCACGTTTGACGGCTTATGTTACTAAGCGATTAACAATTGTTTTGGTTCTGAAGAGCTTATGACAAGTGCCACCAGTTGTAACGATAACACACGTTTTAATCCTACTAAAATTATTAAGGGAACAATGAAATTGTGACATAAACAGTGCACCTTACTGTAGTTGCTCCGGAACGAGGAGATGGAGTAGATAGATGAAGTTGAGAACTTACGAAACCTAAGAGTTCTATTTCTTTTTCTTAGTGTTATTGTTTGCTTTATTCGCTGAATAGGCTACCCTTCAATATTATATTTTTATTTAAAAATTTATGTAGAATTATATTTTAATTTGGATATTTGATAAGTATCTGACAATTATTTTCCTGTATTCAGAGAAAACTTTATCGTGAGGGGTGAGAACATGTTGATATTTTTTTGTTTTTCAATACGACATTTTTTTCCCTTTACGTTAATCTCAAAGAAAAACTCATTGCTAGGTCAAGACATAAGTCCTTACTATGACAAAAAAGATCCACCGGTGAGTCGGCGGTAAGTTCCCGATTTACAATGCTAAAATCCGGGGTTCGATTCCTTTCGGTGGACAGAGCATAAATAACCCATTATTTAGCTTTGCACTAAATAAACCAACAACAGGACAAACAATAAAAAAAGCGGGAAGATATGTAATGTGTATTTGTATTGATATATTTTCGATATTAAGTATTTCACTATGGTAACTGGATTACTATATTATTTTAAACATCTTATACGGTACACCTTTCTTGTACTCGTCTTTGATACATCTGTAAAAGTTATTAATGTAATCTCTACTAGAAACAGAGTAGTTACAATATTTTTATTCTTCAACACACATACAAGCTCAGTGCTGCTTTAAAATTACAACAATAAACTATCTTAGTGGGTAGCTGAAAATAAGCCATACCTGCACTTTGAAAATCCATTATGAGGAATAATAAAATAAGTTTCTTGGCATGCTCAAGTGGGGCAAATATTGTCTTGGTAGATAGATGAGTGAATGTTAAGTACTGCTACCTTTTGTTATTATATGTTCCCAACTTCAGTATGCAGTGTTAAAAGGTACAAAGTTGAAGAGTTGACTAACTAAATATAGTTTGACATGTGTGTTTGGACCGTGTCTGATAGATGGAGTATCTATCCCTAACGCTTTTGGGTGTTATGACCGTAGACATATTCCGTTATGAGTCAATAAATAGCGAAGAACTGAAAATGGACAATATTTTATTTAGGTTAGAATCTTATAACAGACATCACGGTTTTTGGTTTGTGTACTAACTTCTATCATTGTCATATAGCGCTGATTTGAGAGCCTGTATACAGTTGATGTAATTTATAGTATTAGAATTGTTTACTTGATATTATAAATATGTACTGTATGTGATCTATAAACAGTCGTAAGAGGGCAGCACCTGTCATCACGTCATCTTTATTTTACAGTCGCTGATGCACTTGCTCTGAATTACATATAATAAATCTGAGTTTATTTAAACGTTATAATATAATAAATCCGAGTTTATTTAAACGTTATTCATATTTTCAAAGGAAGAGAGCATCCTGTGTGTGTAGTTAGAATAAATATTCATTGTGAAGCAAACAATGTAAGATGCTAAGTAACTATTGCAGAACGTTGGCACTGTTATTATTAATATCTCAATTAAAATATCCTGTCACTTTCTTGAGCTGGTTTTGGAAAGACGGACACTTAGAAATAAAGCTGACATAATATTATTAAGAGCAGACTACACGTGGTGGTGAGGTTAGTTTATCACCTTAAGGTGGCCTACAACCTGTTGGTCGTAGGTACTAAAAAGAACTAAAAACTTCTTATTAGTATGCCAAAATGCTAATGTATTTCACCATTCTACAACTGGCTGCAAGCCGATGGGTTTCACATTTTACCGTTAAATTCGAACCATGTACGAGTTTTACGTCACTTTATGCAGATTGGGTTTCTATTAAGTTTCAACAGTGTCATCATTTATGATAACTATTTATTGTTATTCAAAAAATTTAAAAAGCAAATTTATTATTTTTTAATAAAGAACATTTTATAAAAATATATTGTCTTTATTCACAAAACCAAAAAAGACCAAATTTAAGTACGCATTATTTTTAGGTTCCGTTTGAAACAATTATCTAGATACGAATTAATGGGAAATAAAACTATTTAAAATATTCTTATTGTGTGATGGATCGAGCGTGGCTTAATGGTGAGTGTGCTGGACTGTAAATCCAAGGGTCCATGGCTTACATTCTGTTGCTACCAAATCGTGCTTCGCACTTTGGAGCTATGGGTAGTTATAAGAGTGAAGGTCAAATCCTGCTATTTGTTTAGAGAGGCCCAAGAGTTGGCGGTGGGTGCTTTTAAATAGCTTCCGTCCCTGTACTCTGTCAGTTAAAAATTAGGAATGGTCAAAGCAGATGGATCTTCTATTGCTTTGCGCGAATATCCGAAGCATAATTATTCTGTGATATGTATAGATTCGTTGATGTTCACGTTTTCAGTCACACCAACGTCAAATGATTCACAAATAGTACATCTCGCTACATACGTAAAGGGTTTATAGTAAATAACTTTTCCTACACAGTTAACAATTTGTTTTTGTACTTTTGAATCAACAAAAAATAACTACGATAATAAATATTTTCTCATCTGTGGAATATTTCTTTAAGGTTTTGATTGTTTTTCACCGCTGCTGTATATCTTTCAGTTAGTAAAAAAATGTCTTAAATCAGTATTCTTGATCTCATCCAACTGCTTCTATTCACAATATTTGATAACTATCAGGATAATGAGTGGTAAAAGAGGATAAAGTGTTCTCAATTTCTACGACTTTATTACTTTCTTGTTAAATCAAAATCCATCTATATATTTAAGATTTCCCATCATTAACAATATGTTTTCTTGCTTTTTGACATTAATACGTTTTGGTAGTTTAGGAATCTTCTCTTTGGTTAATATAAAACATTTACCATCCTCTCGTCGTTTTCTCTGTAGATACTGTTAAATTGTAAATAAAGCTTAAACACATGTATATACGAGGTTTATTTATTTTCAGTAACATCAGTGTATTAGTTTCTTATCCTGAAAACAACCCGGTGAAGCTTGGGAATAAAGCCACGTTCGTTAATTTACTTTAAACTCACTGAACAGTAGACACTTGATTGCTTTTCTGTGGCATGTTGAGCTTTCAGTCATTGATTTCCTGTTTACAGTTTGTTTTTTTTCTTCGCGCAGACATCCAAGAATTCTATGAAATGACTCTTCTGGATGACAATAAAAGTGTCCAACAGAAGACAGCAGAAACCTTACAGATTGCTTGTAAATGGGAGAATAGTCCCCCTATTGCAGGCTTGAATAATGAGGTGAGAAATTAACACAAGTCTATAAAAACTGAAAATAGTGTATTTATAACGTAAATTATTTTCTCATCTTAAACATTTGCTGATATTGTAGTTTTGATAGTGTTTAGGAAGCAGAGTTTGACCAAATGACACGTATATTCTCATGTTATTTTCTTGTAGAATATTCCAGAATTAAGAAAACTCGCTCTGCCTCTTAAATAATAATTTGCCTACATTGTTTGTCTACCTGTAACAGTAAAGGTCAAGAGATGTTAGCGAAAAGTCCTGAGATTAAGAGACAAAGAATGTACAAGTTATTATTATTTAAATGATATTGATGCTTTGCTGTTTTATTACTTATAAATGTATCTGGTGTTTAAAATATATTAAGTTTAGGGTGAAACAAAAATATAGCGGTTATTGGTTGTGGGATGCCTATGGAATGTTTTGGTCAAAAATTAATTTTTCTTACTTCATTTTTCATAGTAAGTATTGCCCCGTCCTCTTATTGTGGACCGGGCATGGTCTAGAATTTAGTATGTTTGTCTGTGGGTCGAATGGTTCAGGGATCGAGACGTGATATCGCTGAACACGTTTGTTAGATATACATGACTGTCCATTTTAAGTTTAATACGAGAGTATTATTTCGTTTATATTGTGCAAGCGTTAAAGTAAGTTATTTTTAGAAGCTATAGTTATGGCAAGTTTGCTTACGTAACCGTTTACGAATCATATGTTGTGTAGGTCAGTTGTTGTGAATTGACGTCATGTTACTCGAACCTTCTAAATTTTTCTCGTTGCTTTAAGTGAGTGTTGTTACATAATAATATCTCGTAGAAGTATAGAAGAATAATTCATCTTGTCAGTTTGGTTCTAAAGTAACTGAATCAGCCTGTGTGGACTGTTGACGTAAAAGAGAATTATTTAAAGCTCTGGATATAATTGTGGTAACCCACGGGGTAACATAAACATTGCCCCCCCAGTAGCACAGTGGTATATCAGCGGACTTACAACGCTAGAATCCGGGTTTCGATACCCTGGTGGGCAGAGCACATATAGCTCATTGTGTAGCTTTGTGCTTAATTACAAATAAACATAAACATTAATGACGGTTATACCAGATCCCTAGTGTTTTATAACCCTACCGTTTAACGCACGTGCCTATAAGTTATTCAAATTAAAAATTTCAATTCCAGTCCCCATAAAGATCGTAAATGAATATAATTTATTGAAAAACAACATATCTTCAATTTGTTTTATCCTTCCTTGCAAACAAACATCATAAAGTGTTTGTTAAAATCTCGTATGTAATTTTAAATTTATTACCGCGCATAATAAAAATGATGGTTGTGGTTGTTGTTAAGCACAAAGTTACATAAAGGTTTTTAGCATTATAAGTCCGCAGAATACCACTGTGCCACTGGGAAGCTAATAAAAATGAACAAAACAATTGTGAAGTGCTTGTGATGAGGTTTAACTAGCTTGGTATGTTCTGTGGCGCCATCTAGTATTATCTTTTTAAAGGTGTTTGGAGATTTATAGTATTTTAACGTAATCTTCATCGCCTTAGCTTTGTGGCACAGGACGAAAAATGTTTCAACTTTCTGATTCTTTGTAAAAACATTATGAATAATATCTGGATTTGCTGAACATATCTTATATGTAATTCACCAAGTAGCATGTTATCATTAAGTATAAATTATTTAATTTTGTTTTCGTTCGATGTCACCTCGTTACACCACTCATCTTGATAACTTGGTCTCGTGTCAAGTAATGTATTTTTCACGTCATATTTTTTTCATACACTGTTAACGTAAATAAGTAAGTTGAGATAAAACCTATACCGTGCTCTGTATCATTCTCAATCATTCTAGCAACAACATGTATGTCTGTCTGTTATTCCGGCCCCCCAGTGGCACAGCGGTGTGTCTGCGAACTTACAATGCTAGAAACCGGGTTTCGATACTCGCGGTGGGCAGAGCACAGATAGCCCATTGTGTAGCTTTGTGCTTAACTTCAAACAAACAAACAAACAACCTGTAATTCCGAATTTCAGTGTTATAAACCCATACACGTATCGCTGTATCAGTGGGGGGGATATGTAAGCGTGCACTTTAACATATTTCTTAATGATGATATGGTCGTGGTTCGGCAAGATTAATTTGAAAGTCGAAGTGAAGAGCATTTAGGTAACAAACAACCTGTATTAAAGATATTGATTAGACCCAGATATCTTGAAGAAGTATCATGCAAATATGAAATGAAGTTTTAATCTATTTTTCAATAGTTTTTTTAGCTAATCAAAGTGCAATAGATTGTTAGGGGGAGGAATTAAAAGAATATATGAAAATGTTTCATAAGAATCAATAGAACGGTAAAATAAGGCCACAGAAGATGAATACAGATGTTGAACACTTTATGTGATAACAATTTTGGAGCCTTCGCACATAGTTACAGTTCATGTCGACATGTCTGGTCAGCTTCTACCTGACGACCGTGTTATTAAAATAGCCCTGCAGCGTAATTTCAATTGCAAAAACTTCCATTGAAAGACTGTTATGTTCAGAATACACCTCTCCTCCCTGCAGCTATCCATATAGTGTACGAGGATGACGGTTTGTTTCAACAAACTGATTGCACAGAAGTTGATAGGCGCTGCATCCAGCGACTGGACCATTTTCTTTTCGAATGAAATATCATGAACACCCATTTCGTTCTCCTGCTGGTTGAGGTAATCGACTGTTGAACTGACATGTCATGGAAGCAACTTGTGTTACTTTATTAGACCCGGACGAGATCATTCTGGATTATGCTGCACATTGTTGCCTGGGCTATGTGAACGGCTTTTGCCTCTTAACTTTGTGTTCGTGGATTCTCACCAGTTACAAGACAAACGAAATTACCAGAGCTGAGGTACAACATGTAGCAGTTTTTGTCTAGTTTTGCTATCCCTAGTTGATGCATATTCCTTTGTTTTTCAATGCTATTAGAACAATGTCAAAATGAAGTTATGATACATGCTATTACATCGCGACTATTTGTTGTGGTTGTCACATGACTTGCTGATTTATATTTTCAAAATCGTTTTGAAAAAGTGGAATTGACAGGCGTATTGTCAAATGGGATTCTAGTATCTTCATCCATCTATCTGTCTCGTTGAAACACCTACCGATTTCGAGATATGAAGATGGATTGCTGTGAGCTTTCGTCAACTTCAAATCCCTCTCAAGTCCACTTTTTCGCAATGCAACTCTACACAATAAGCTATCTGCGTTCTGTCCACCACGGTGAAGCGAACCCTGAATTTTAGCGTTAGATACGTCCGGAAGCGTAATGTTGACCCAGTGGGGGACAGTGAAAATGAAGTTTAACCAACTTTGTCTTTAATAAATGCTTAGCATTAGGTATGAAATAATAGTATTGATTTATTATATTCAATGGTTGTACTTATGGTAAGATTGGTGGGATAGGTGTGGGTTGAAAGTGAACTCAATTTCCAATTCTGAAGTAATAAAACCTGTGTTAAACTACAATCTTGGTTTCACCCTTTTTTGAAAGCTTTGAACTGTTAACGCTTAACTATTAATTTCATATTATTGAAAAACCTGAAAGTTCTGTCGCCTTGTTGTTTGAAATTCAATATCAAAAACCTTGCTAAAGTTATTTTTCTGTCGTAAAGATATATTCACGGGATTGTATTTCTACCTTAATAAGCATACTACATTACGTTTTAAGAAATTTTAGAATTTTGATATACCGAATGACCCTCCTAACGGTTTTTCATTTAAAAATAATAAAACTCAAATTGTTTTTCAACGGAACATTTCTTTCGTTAATATGATCTTTAGTAAGGATTATGTGATTATACTATACATATATAAGCAAAAATACCCGTCCCCAGTGACGGGAAAGTTTAAGTTAATCTATCAATTTAAATTATTTCACGGACTTTGAAAAGGTTAATTCTGTTGTACTTTTGTTTTCACTCAGAGCTAAAGCTTTTCAAACGCAGCGCGGGAGGCGGCCGCCGAAAATGGGAGACAGACGAACGCTCGGACAGACAC